CTCTCTCTCTCTTTCTTCCTTTCTCTCGTTCTCTTTCCCTCTTTCTCTCTCACTCTTTCTCTCTTTCCCTCCCTCTCTCCCTCTCTCTCTCTCTTTCTCTCTCTCTCTCACGCGCTCTCCCTCTTTCTCTCTTCCTCTCGCCTCCCTCTCTCCCTCCCCCTCTCTCCCCTTCTCCCTCTCTCTTCCCACCCTCTCCTCGTCCCCTTTCTCTCTCTCCCTCCTTCTCCCTCTCTATCTCTTTCTGTCTCTCTCTTTCCTCTCTCCCTCTCTCTTTCTCCATCTCTCTCTCCCTCTCTCTCCCCCTTCCCATCTCTCTCTCCATCTCCCCCCCTCTCTCTCTCTCTCTCTCTCTCTCTTTCTCTCTCTCTCCCTCTCTTTCCCTCTTTCTCTTTCTCTCCTCCCCTCTCTCTCTTCCTCTCCCTTTCCCCCTCTTTCTCCCTCCCCCTCTCTCTTTCTCTCTCCCTATCCCTTTCCTTCTCTCTCTCCCCCTCTTCTTCTCTTTCTCTCTCCCTATCCCTTTCCCTCTCTCTCCCCTTCTCCCTCTCTCCCTCTCTCTCCCTCTCTCTTTCTCTCTCCAACTCTCTCTCCTTCTCTCTCTTCCTCTCCATTTGGAGTTTCACAACATGGTCAATCTTTTTCGAATGTAATTCTTTGACTATCTTGATAACGATTCCGAATAATCTTACAATTTTAATAGAGTAGATAGAACATATATTATTGTGATGCAGCGTGGTGGATTCAGGCTCTCGTCAATTTTGAGGCATGTAGAGTTATTTATAGGTATCATCTTAAAGCTTGTTCCCTTGTCTTTATTTGGATGAAAAAAATATCCATTTATCTTGAATACAAGTCGAGATATTTGCAAATAAAGGAGGTTGGGGTCACCTGTTTTCAGAGGTAAAATTAGTGAGAAAAAGGTCGCCAAAGCTTAGTTATTCCCTTTGATTAAGAGTCCTTGGTAACTGAAAATTTACATTTTTTGTGAATTTAATCAACATTTTTCAGAAAAACCCACACAGAAATGAGTTCTTTAATGGGTATGAAAGGTGTTCAGCCAAAAAACGAAAATTTGTTAAAAATTCACAAGCCTACGGAAAAATGCAAGTTTGTTCACTTTGATTATTTTGACGAGAGCCTGATTCCACCACGCTGCCTCACATTCGGTACAAATTATGACCCCATGGTCTTAGTAACTCAAAACGGCCAATAATGTCAGAGAGAACCTCGTAATTCTAAGATAAACGAACTGCCTCCCACTGCCCTTGCCTCGGTAGAGTGCTCCTTCAGGCTATCACAATGACAGCTTGCGACCTGTGCGCCATGACCAAACCATGGCAAGTCCAGGAGGAAACGGTCAAGGTCATCTATGAAGAGTTTTATAACCAGGTGACCAACCACTGCATTCAGACAGGACTGGACTTCTGATCTGTCGTCAATTTGGTTTCCGTGACAGGCCTACGCATCCCCACTTGACTCTTTTCTTCCATTACGTCACTTTTTTGTTCTTTATCACAAAGCAATGTGGTCTCTCTGGTGTGTTGGTATTGGTTGGTGGCTTGCTTTCTACTCGTTTTTGAAGCTTTTTTTCCTCCCTTTTTTTAAGCGTGAGTTTTGACCTCTATCCTGGCACATGCTCGTTAAGGTTTTTTTACCCTCATTTTACCCTCCCCTTTTTTCTTTAGATCTGGCAAAGAAGAATGCCGAAACTGTGGATTAGTTAGGAAGCACATTCGTCTGAGTGATTGTTTGCCTTTCGTTTGACAGATTCGTCATTACGTTCCCTGTTGAAGTGATTTCTTCTTTGCAGTCTACGAAAGTTTAAAAAAAATAATTTTTCAGTCGTTTGCATGACATCGTTTGCTTTTGGTGTTATGAGAAGATAACATCTGAGATGTGTCTTCTCCCTTAATTTTTGCCTTTTGAATGTCGTTGAGCATGTGTGGACGAACGTGTAGGTATTTAGCCAGCCACTGTGGGTCTTGTCTCTGTAAAAAAAACACCAAAAAAAAACGCACGCATAATTTCGCTTAAGGTGTTGTGGGCACAGGGTCAGGAAAAGAGCTGAAGATGCAGTAGAGTCAAATTTATTCAAGGCTAAGAATCGCCATACTGCAAAAAAAAAAAAAACCTTCATGAAAAAGGAGAGGTTTAGGGGTACGACCAGACCATCAATGATTTATTTATAGAGGCACCAGCCATCCATGTCCAGGTGCTGTTTTGTTTAGGGGTACGTTAGTGCAGACAGTGGTGTCATATTGTGCACATCCGACTTACCTACACGTCACTGAAAGTATAATGGAAACTTTGCAAAGTTAAGAAGTCTAGAGAATAACTTGCCGACAGAATAAAGGCGGTTTTAGGAGTTGTTTCAAATGATACAAGGGTTGTTTGGTCAGTGCATCTTCCGGTCTTTTGCTGGTTTCTTGTTTCTGTGGGTACTGCGCTTCTGGGGTGCTATCCTTTGTCGCAAACTGCAGTTTTTTCATCAAATCTGAAAACACACACACACACACACACACACACACACACACACACACACACACACACACACACACACACACACACACACACGCACACACAGACACATGCGCTAAAATGAACTCAATCTATAGTTTGTACATAGAATTGGGTTTTAACGCTTATCATTTATTCCATTGAAATGGAATTGATAAACTAAATAAGAGTATCTATATGGCGAAGGTTGTTTTTTTCGTCCCTCCTCTGTACTTTTACAGCAATGTGATGGATCTCATAATCAACGCTCCATCGTGTTTCCGTACAGCCTTCATTTAATACCTTATTTTTTAAAAAAAACCAAAAAAAACCCCCACAACAATCTGAACAGCTATAGCATTGACGAAAACGACATCAAAAGAAGCAATCTGTAAGACAATTAATTAACCAAAAGTTAACGACGGAAACAACAACAATAATGGCAGTGGTAACAGTAGTAACGACATACCACAAAAAACATGTACCAATATTCGTCACTACCAAACACACAATCAGCAGCAAATGAACAGCTTTTCCCCCTACAACCCCATGCTCCGAAACATCTAAACATAGTTTTCCCCGAAAAATAAATGGAATCGGCCATCGAACACAGCGATAAATCTGTGCGGCCACCATAGATGTACACTACACGAGTACGTCTAACAATGAGATAACTCTGTGGTCGTCACCAGAGGGTTAAGTTAGATTCCCTTCGATGTGAGCGCCAAGCAACTAACATGGCCGCACAGTGTCGTCTTGCTGCACCTGCTTCTTCTAAACCCTTTTGTTGTCTGTATGTCTGTGATGACGTCACCAGGAACCTGCTGACAGCAGTCTTGATGACCGGATGTGACCTTTGCGCCATGTTCAAGCCATGGCCCACCCAGCACGAACTGGTCTACATCATTATGGAGGAGTTCTGGCAAGAGGTTCGTTTCAGTTCGGCTTCCAC